GTAAAATCGTTCAATGTACAGCTAGCCGTGCATTATCCCTTATGTATTCCCTCTTTAGCAGTCCTTTTTTACAGCAATATTTAAATGACACCCTGGTCATTCTTGGTGTACCCAAAATGGTCCCACACTATCGACAAGCATTTCTCTGGTGGAAATAAAGCTTCGCTGTTTGGTCCCTCTGTCAGTTCATCTAATGCATGTAGTAGCCTCCGTGCCTCTGATAAGCACGTCATTTTAAGCTGGTGCACCTTTAGTGTAACTTGGTTTCCATTTTGCACAAGCTGCAATTTCATTTTTTTAGTACCGACTTGGTACCGAAATACCGGGTCTTTTGACAACACTAATTCTTGGTGTACGCAAAATGGTCCCACACTATCAACAAGAATTTCTCTGGTGTAAATAAAGCTTCTCTGTTTGGTTCCTCGGTCACAGTTAATCTAATGCATGTAGTAGCCTCCGTGCCTCTGATAAGCACGTCATTTTAAGCTGGTGCACCTTTAGTGTAACTTTGTTTCCATTTTGCAAAATAAGCTGCAACAGTTCCATTCTGTGTAACAGAAACACTCGGTTTAGCAGAACCTTTACGATTAATTAACCGTGACGTTTTAAAGCACGATTAATCGCGAAACCGGTTAATCGCTGCATCCCTAGTCGAGTATTCGATCTTAAAGGGGTCATGAACTGCTTTTTTTCTTTTTTCTTTTTATGATGTTTCCTTAGGTGCACTTATGAATAACTGGCCGTTTTCTACCCTGCTTTTAGCCCTCTGATTTGAATACTGTGTACATCTTAAAGGGGACATCGGATGCCCATTTTCCACAAGTTGGTATAATTCTTTAGGGTCTTCATGAAATGTCTGCAACATACTTCAGTTAAAAGTCCTCAATGGTCGTGTAAAATAACACCCTTTTTACCTTGTCAAAAACAGCTCTGTTCACAGCGAGCCATTTTGGTCCATGTTTCTTTAAATGATAATGAGCTACTGCTCACCCCACCCCTCTCTTCCATATTTTTCTGTGGTAAAAATCGACGCGTTTCAGAAAGGCGGGGCATAGAGGAGAAACAATAATGAACAGAATGTGGAAAATAATGTGTTTTTTAACCTTAAACCGCAAAAACACATTGCATTACACCAAATACACAACATAATGTTCTTTTTAGCAGCGTCATATGACCCCTTTAATACTTTACTGCTTAAATTAATACTTAAGCGATGACACAATAAATTGATCAAAACCATCAGTATAGCGAGTTACAAATGTTACAAATGATTTCCTAAAAAAAAAAAAAAATCTATTCCACAAAAATATGAATCCCAAGCTTTCTTACTCGTTTTGCTAATAAACATTCTACGTTTCTTATTTATTTGGTTACATATTATACATGTTTACTTGTTTCCAGTTTTGTATACCTATTAAACTTTATGCAAGTTATTTGTTATTTTATATTAGGCATAGCCTGCCCTATAGCATGGTGTATTTTTATTTGTTTTGTTAATAAAAGTTCCATGTTTTATATATAGGCTAAAGTGAGTTTGACATTGTATTTTGTCGTTGCATTCAAGCAATTGACGCCAAACTGCCGCTAATTCAAAAGTGAAAGTAAAATGCGCACGGCGCTTTTAAGCTATTTAAAAGCGTAGGAAAGCGAGGAAAAATTCAAACAAACTAAAAATTAACAATTGCTTTACTCCGAATTGGCGCTATTTGAAAGTGAAAGTAAAATGCGAACACCGCTTTTACAAGCTATTTAAAAGCAAAGGAAAGCGAGGAAAAGAGGGAACGCCCCGCCCCCACAGTGATACCGGTATTACCGGTGTTGTCACATGTCGATTAACTGGTGGGAAAATTTCCTCACCGTCACAACCCTAACAGGAATACACTGATTTTTAAAGATATTGATATTATTTAATATTCTAACATTTCTAAATAAAAAAGTTATTATAATATGTAATAACTTCGCAATGTTACTGTTTTTACTGTATTACTGATCAAACATCAAAATAAGATTTAGAACTGTGAACATAAGCATGTATAAGAGCATCTTACTTGTCGATCAGACTCTCCTCCAGCCTCATCCGCTTTACTGAGATAAAAACGGAGACGGTCCCCTTGCTTCTCATTAAGTTTCTCTACAATGTTGAGTGTGCGCTTGCATAAAGCCTGTCCCATTGGGTCAAAGAAGACCAGGATCAGATCACAGAGCTCACCTGGTGTAGACAGACAGAATCAGAATACAGGGACACTTATTAGGATCATAAACAGACATTTATAATAGTAAATTTAGACTTAAAATCAACATTACAACAATGCCAACTCCGGAACATACAAATAACTTCAAGACAAACACACACCGAGCCACAGAATAGCTTGGTCCACATCAAAGGGGTACTTCATATCCCCATCCACTAGACCAGGAGTGTCAACAAAGGTCACCAAACTGAAACGTTTCTGTCGTGAAGTACAAATCTCAGTGCCGAGGTATTCTGACAGCCCTGAAATTGAGAGAAAGTTACGCTTTAGACACAGCTTCAATAAGCTTGTAGCTTTTTTTAGTGCAATTCATCAACAAACCTTTAAACTCCTGCAGTGGTTTGAAATGGGGATAGAGATGGAGTGTTGCATTTCCCTAAAACCAAGACAACAGTTGTTATACAATAAGAAGTGAAAGACGTTTATATCAGTGATGCCAATTTCATACCCAAACCATGTCACACAAAACTTTAATGTGACATGCATGGGGTCATATTTACCATGAGCGATTCCCTCTTTCGCCCACTTGTAACAAAGCTGAAGCCCTGTGTCTCTATAGCGACCCCTGTTCTTTGGATATGCTCCTCCACATACCTGCAAAGCAATAAACGCACGGGTTACTGTTTGAACTCCAACTGTTCTCACATTCTCAGTCTAGCACAAACAGCAATCTGAGTGCATGCTTGTAGTGTCCGTTTTCATGCCTATATATTAGCATACCAATTGATAAAGCTGCTCTTTCCAGCTGAGTGGTTCCCCATCAACATCACAGTTATCTTTTTCCGGGGAGGCAGCAAGGTCACCCCAACGGTCTGAGCGATTGTTATTAGTCCTACAGGACAAAGGAAAGAGTCGTTAGACAAACTAGACTGGAAAGAAAGTGTCAGGGGGTGAGTAGGTTTCAGGTTCAGTGACAGAACATCATTCTTGTGTGAACTATCCTTTAACGTCACCCACTGAGTGACAATCACGGCAGAAGAAATCTTTATACAATTTAAACGTGATGCACTAAAAATAACTTTTTATTATTTTTTTTATACATACTTTTATTTCGTATCACTTGGAGTACACAGTAACTGATTAAACGGTCAATCTAATGATTGCACAGTTATGAAAGCAAACAAGTGAAATGCTTTTCGCCCTCTGAAGTGCAACTTACTTCACATACCAACCGGCATTTTAGCTCACCGGCTACCGTTAGCACCTCCTAACCACGCCTAGAGACAAATCTAATGCCTTACTAAACCAAGTAAATCAATGAGAATGTAACTTAATCCTTTCTAAAGGGAACGGTTTCTTACCGCTATCCGGATCGATGTACATCTGGTGGCAGTCCCGTAAGATGCGCTCGCCGCAGGACACACTGCCAGATATTGAGTCGGCATTTGCAGCACTCTTGCTTTTGATTTTCCCGGACATCGTGATGTAAAATTACGGGCTGTAATAAAGCAGCTTATGTTTTATTACCTACAAAGTAAAATCCACAGGTAAAATAGTTTGAAACGAATGAAACAGAAAATTAGTTACATCCAAAATGAAGTTCAAATCGCCCCGGTCTGTTGGGTAACGCTGGCCACGTCACCGATGTGCTCAAAGAGTTGTGGGAGTTGTAGTCTTTATTGCGTTCACTCGAGGTGGTTCTGATAATTAAGGCAGAAAAGCTGTGTCTTGTTTCCGCCTAGTTTATTTATAAACAACGTCGTCTGTAGAGCATTATATAACCATGAATGATTAATCATTTCGGAGTTATGCCCTTTGCACGAGTGAAAAGCGCCGTTAAGTTATTTGAGATTTTTTCACGCTGTTGAACGATTCTAAAAATACTAAATTTGTTATCTAAAAAAAAGGCTGAAGGCTTCAGTTCCAGCCATTATCCTTAATCATGTGAGATAATTCAATAATAAACTTCCCCTCCTTATACTTCTGACTTAACTCAAATGCCTGCTCCTGTAGAGGAAAGGAGAAAGAGGGGAAAAAACATTGTTATCAGACTGCAGGTTAATGAAATCAAGCCATTTTGGGGAGGAAAAAAAGTGTCCCCTACTACATTTTTTATTAAAACAAAGCATGCTTACATATTTCCAGCCCAGTGTGGTGTGGCAATTCTCACAGTAAATATCAGCCACAGCATGAAGACCGGTCAGCAGCAGCCTTTCTTCTGCTGGGCCACAACCCACATTCACCCTGAAATCACAAAATGACAGTTAAACCAACTATTTCTTCCATCACAATGTGATTCAGGCTCTGAGATTTTTTACCAGAAGTGATACTCACACAGAATTGAACAGGTAGGCACGGCCCTGACTGCCTTGAAACGACTGAAAATAGACAGACACGTGAGTCTTTAATGCAAACAGCATCACAATTCACAAATATAACTCTCACCTTAGAAATTAGGTCATCATGGTTGGCCAGGTGTGCACGGCAATGCACACAGCTGTAGCGGCGGTGACAGGAGTCCAGATAGGCCTGGAAAGTTTTGGCCTTGGTCTGCTTCACCATGTCTTTGAAGACACACAAAAACAGTGTCAAGATCATATCTGCAAGGATAACAAATTGCTACAAAACAGCTTCTGCCAAATGCGTAGTTAGAAAGCATGGCATTGACATCATCAGCCAATAACATTGTGATTTTCAAAGCAGACTAACTGCTTTGAGATTTTATGCATGATGGACGTGGCATTTACAGCAATCTTTTAAAGGGGTCATATGATGCTTTTTTAAAGATCATTATTTTGTGTATTTGGTGTAACAGAATATGTTGACATGCTTTAATGTTCAAAAAACACATTATTTTTCAAATACTGTACATTATTGTAGGTCCTCTATGCCCCGCCTCTCTCAAACGCTTCGTTTTCTACAAAGTCCCTCCTTCCGACAAGTGCAGTCTGCTCTGATTGGCCTTCTTTCTTTGCGTGCACATTTGGGTGGCATTATGCTAATATTTCCACATAGTGAGGTAGATATGTGGGGGCGTGTTAGAACGAGCCGTTTTAGGGGGGCGTGGCGGAGTCTTAACTTTGATAAAGAATATCTCTTTGGTTTTGAGACTTTAGTCTTTGCAACTTCAGGGATCTTATCTATGCACAATCAGCTTGTAACACTCCAAAGAGAAAGGAAAACTTGAAATCGCATCATATGACCCCTTTAAATTGTGTATTTGAAAAGCATTTTAATAACACTGCAAATCTTGCATCCTGTTTCAGATATATAGCAGGAAAAAAGGAAACATCCACATGACCTACTTTGCTTGGCTGCCCACATTGTAGTGACCCCATATATGGCATACCAGGCACGAGGGTAAACAGTGGTGAAAGGTATTAATAACTATGGCATGCTGTAATAAATACAGCTTCAGATATATTATTGGGTTATAAAATATTTGAAAAGTTAGCCTACTAAATTTCCGCAGACACACTGACGATTCTAGTTTCTGTTCTCATGGACTACAACGTTCCAGCACGGCCCACAATGCAGCTGGAAAATCGTGAACGAATCGTTCATACGAGTCGGGTGCTTTCAACGATTCAGTTGAACAGGATTTGACTGATGGGGCAAAATTAAAATACATAATTAGCAGAATAGTAAATCAATTTTTATTTATCTAGTTTATTTCACTATGTTAATTTTATCAACAAATAACTTTCAGACAAACTTTTTCGGCCAAGATATGCAAATTAATTTTAGTATTATTTAAATGTAAAATTAAATTATACTTAGGTTTTTGAATTATCTTTTTTTATATTTACTTTTTTATGCTTTATGTAGGCCAAATAAATTAATAAATAAATTACAAACGAAATGTCAGGTTGTCAGGGACCAATGCAATAACGTCACAGCTCAAAATTACCGCCGAATCGTTTTTGGAATGAACTGTTCGAAAGAACCGATTCGCGGAATTTGTTCATTTCCCCCTTCACTACTAGAATATTGCACTGACGAACGCGGCTATTTGCACGTATATGCCAGTCGCGTAAATTAACGTTTCGACTTAACACCCTCTACATATACAAGTAACAATTGCACCATAGTGTACAAGCTCTAAAGCCAGGAGTAGAGCCGTTTCTCATTAGAACTGCTTCTAGCCTCCTCGCCCCATTTGACATGCTAATAATGAAACTGGTCTCACCTAAATTTGAACGATTTCTTCAAGACAAACGCTGGTCGCAGTATTGTCGCCAGAAGAGAAGCGTGCTCAACTCAACGGCATGAAGCCTGAGCATTCAGTAATCAAGCGCACTCAACCAAACGAACGTGCGGCACGCTTCTGCGCTTTTTCTACAGTTCCCTCCTTTGTGTCCCTCCCGTCGACCTGCTCTAATGCGCAAACCGTGTGATGACAACCGAAAGCATCATAAATTCCTAAATTCACACAAGCCGCCGTGCTCAATATGTCGCGACCGAATATAATCCGTAGATTTGTTTACTGTATTTTCTGAGGAAGTTTCTTATACGTCATGTGGCGCAAAACAAACAGTAACTGACCAATCAGAATCCAGACAGAGACGTCTGGAATATAAATCAGCCAATCAGAGGTGCTCTTCCCGTGCGTTTGACAGTCTATGGTTTGAAGTCACCTGAACTTCACAGTTGCGTTAAAACCATAGACTGTATAAAAACAGGTTAAAACGTTTAAGCTAGCAAAAAAAAAAAAAGCCCTCACGTTCTGGTTATCTTCGTCTTATCGCTTCTTTAGAAGTGGCGTTTTTTGTGTCTTCTGGTTGTTTGCATGACAATGAAGTCATGCAGACGATTTTAAAATAATTAACTATATAATGAAAGCCGCCGTAGTTCTGTACGGCATTAAATGTTTAACTGAAAGATCATGTATTTTTCTATCTAAAGAAAATTTTCAAAAGGACAGGGCAATTCAGGCTTTGATCCCATGTTGGGTACAGCTGATGGACTTTGCACGGCCTCTCAAAGAAGTTGGATAGTGTTTGTTTGCAAACAGAAGTAGAGAGGCGTTAAACTGACACCGACTGACTGAAAACCACAATAAACAATGATCATGGTGGGATAATAATGTAGCGAGCGAAGAAAGCAGTCCACTTAGAATATATGAGTTCCATTTATTTTTTATGTGTTTTCATACTTATGAAATGTCCCATGAAGAATGCCATAAACCGTTTCATGTAAATACTGCCAGTGCTGATAAGCTAATAATGGCATTGATATAAACTTGGCTGTATGTTTAAAGGCAAACAGCATTTGTACAGTCTGTGTGTGTTTGACTAGACAAGAGTGAAGCACATTGTGTATTTGTGTTTGATCACGTGTCTTGTGTGTGTCTTCTAATATAGTTTGATAACAGCGTGGGATAATCAGTCATGACTCCTGTTGCTCCTGCAGCAAACGCAGCCTCAATATCCTGTTCCTCATTACACACAAAGAGATGAATCTAAAGAGAGAAAGAACATTTCTTTTTCATAATTTTGAAGCATGTATGAACACACACAACCTGAGACCAGTTTCTCACTGAAAATTCAAGTTACTCAATATGTTGTTTCGTAAAGGAAGTTCACTCAAAAATTAAAATTCACTGAACATTTACTCACTCTCAGGCCATCCAAGATGTAGATGTAGTTTGTTTGTTACATCACTTCCTCACCAATGAATCCTCTGCAGTGAATGGGTACCGTCAGAGTCCAAACTGATAAAAACATCACAATAATCCACACGATTCCAGTCCATCATTTAAAGTTTTGTGAATTGAAAAGTTGCGTGTTTATAAGAAACAAATCCACCAATAAGGTGTTTTACTTAGTCTCTGGCCAAAATACAAGTCCATAGTCCATAATAATGTTTCCTCCGGTGAAAATATCCATCCCCTGTTGTCCTCTCACATCAAAATCCACTAACATATTTGTTTAGTTTTTTGTAAACGGTGCTTGATCTGTGTTTATTTCTCTCCTGATTTAGAACAGATGAGTTTTTCACAGAAGAAAGCAATATTATGGATAGATTATGGATATAATAAAGATATAATAAAGTTAAAAACATCTAAATGATGGATTTGTTTCTTACAAACCCACAGCTTTTTGGTTCACAAGATGTTAATTGATGGACTGGAGTCGTGTGGATTGCTTGTGGATTATTGTGATGTTTTTATCAGCTATTTGGACGCTCATTCTGACGGCACCCATTCACTGCAGAGGATCCATTGGTGAGTAAGTGATGTACTGCTGATTTCTCCAATTTTGTTCGGATGAAAAATAAAAATTAATTTTGGATGACCTGAGGGTGAGTAAATTTTCAACAAATGTAATTTTTGGGTGAACTATTCCTTTAATAACACAAAAAAAACATGATATAGCATGGCCACACACCTGAATTCCTCTGTCTCTGAGGTGCTTGAACATCCCTTTTCTCAATGTTAGTCTGACAGAGAAACATTTAAAACACAAAAAAAACCATTTCAATCAAAGGATAAAAGGTTAATTAAAAGGATAGTCTGATAATACTACTACTAAGATAAGTTACCTTTCTATTAAGAAGATGACCAGTCTTATTCTCAGAATCCACATTTCAGGTATGTATTCTCTGTAGGAAAGAGATTAGTGAAAACGCATCTGTGTGATTACCTTGCACAGAACATAGTATGGAAATATTTGGTGTATACAGACCTGTTAATGATTTGTGGCAAGTAGAACTGCAGGAAACTCTCTCCGAGGGGAACGAATGGCAGAAGACCAGTGTAGTAGAGCAGGAGCAGCTTTAAAGCCTGCTTTACAGTGAACATGTAGGGCATGGAGGAGTTCTGCCATTGACAACAAAGGAGACAGAACTAAAGATGTAAGAAAGAGGAAAGTATGTGGGTGATTTATTATTGAAACAAAACAGGTAGAGTGGGACATAAATGCACACGCACTGTTTTGCGACAATTTTCCATGATGGTGGAGTCAACAGAGGCCCAAACTGAGATGGCCTCTCTGTTGTATTTCTTCACAAGATCAGAAATCTGAAAAAGATAGTGCATAAAATCATATCAACATTATTAAGGATAAAAGAACAAAGAGGGAGGCTTAGTAAATTGATGTAGGTAAATATGGTTTCATCATTGGGTATGATGATTGCTCTCTTGCCTTCTCAGTCAGCATGCTGTTATTTTCTTTCACTTCAATGTTTATAGCTATGTGTGGAAATTTGTGGAAAACATCCTCTAATAATGCAATGTTTCTATCTGACCCAGTGCTGAAGTGGCCTGCAAAGGGAATTAAAACATGTCTAATCATTATGCATTAATAAAGATGTTAATGTGTTTGCAATTTTACTGGTAAAACCACACACCTGTCTTAAAGGTCACCTCAAGTATTTCTTTATAAGGTGGCAACTCCTGAAAAAAAAAAACATTATTAACCAAAACCTGTAGTTTATAAACATTAGCATTCAAAAGTTTTTGGTCTGTAAGATTTTTAAATGTTTTTGAAAGAAGTCTCTTATGTTCACCAAGGCTGCATTTATTTTACCAAAATACTGTGAAACAATAATATTGTTAGATGTTATTACTATTTTAAATAACTGTTTTATTTGATTATATTTTAAAATGTAATGTATTCCTGTGATGGCAAAGCTGAATTTTCAGCATCATTACTTCAGTCTTCAGTGTCACATGATCCTTCAGAAATCATTCTAATATGCTGATTTGCTGCTCAAGAAACATTTTTTTGTGAAAATCATGATTCATTCTTTTCTTTAATGAATAGTAAGTTCAAAAGAACAACATTTATGTGAAATAGAAAACTTTTGTAATGCATTCTTGCTGAATAAAAGTATTATTTAAAAAAAATTAAAATAAATAAATCTGACCCCAAAGTTTTGTGTAGGTCCACATGGAAAGTGTGAATTGAGAATTGTTGGTAATAGAGCAGGCAGAGCTGCACAGTGTATCAGGAGAAAAAGTTAACCGTGACCCCTGACCTCCAGGTTTAAGCAGGAAATGTTGACATCTTGCCCAGTCTGCCGCAGGAGGTTCTCATCATGTGACACAACCACATGACCATCTTTAGTCAAGTGACAGTCAATCTCCAGCATCTCTGTGCCTACTTCAACAGCACTAAAAAGGAAAATAGACATTTCGGACATCGCTACTTTCATGAATGCGGCAAGAACAGTTAGGGTTATGCCGAGTTCACACTGCATGATTTTCAAACTCGTCAGATCGCCGTTGTTTTCACACTGCGTGACTATCTGGGGTAGCATTCAGTTGCTGCTGTGTTCACATTGCACGATGGATCGGCGACAGGGGGTTTCACACTGCATGACTTCACATTAGGAAGAATCGCCGACAGCTCTATCTGGTCCGCAAACCACGTTTCACAGCAAAACACACGCGAGAAGTGATAAGGAAATAACGCGAGAACCCGCGTGCGTCAGACCGGAGTTCACGAGCGAGACTGGAATTATTTAAAAAAAATATATATATATAGCCCGCAAATTGTCTGTGATCTGATTTCCAGCTACAAGGAGTGTGAACTCGGCATTAATGTTTTCAGTGAATAAATGTCATGTGGTTTCTCATGTATTACTGTAAATGACTTTAAATATAATGAATGAGTGGTATAAACGGGCGTAATTTCCACTGGGGACAGGGGGGACATGTCCCCCACTTTTCAAAATCACGTTTGTGTCCCCATCACTTTAAAATTCGTTTGTTATGATTTTTTTAACTGCACGCCGTCATCACCACCGGAGGAGCAGGACCGAGCAGGGCACAGACGCGTGCGTCCGCGTCCAGGAATAGCTCACCGAGGGTTCTAATGAGCAGGTACCGCGATTGCGGCACAGTCAGCAAAGAAACGCCAGAAGCAGCAACAGATGACTTTAATGTCATCATGGATGAAAAGAAAGAAAGAAAGAAAGGAGATGTGAGTTGGTTGATTCAGTAAATTAGCTCAGGTCAGGATAATCATATTTTCTATCTACACATGTTAATGTTAGCCTACGTTGACTGAGCTAAACTGTTGCTAGGTAACAGACTGTTGTTAGCTAAATATTTAATGTAGAACAGTGGTTCCCAAACTGGGGTAGCTACGTGAGGCAACAGAGGGGGTAAGCGAACAAAATGCTGAGTTTTGCGGTGTTTAGTGAACGAATCGTTCGCGAAAGTCATTGATTCAATGATTCATTTATAAATACAGCCACTTGCTTCGTTACTGAATGAACGAATGACTCGATGACTCACGCATTAAGACAGTGACTTACCGCCACCTACTGGCAATTTTAGTATTTAAAATAATCACTTTTCACTTTTTTATCATCATTGTATATTAATCTATTTAACTTTTTTTTTTTTAAAACATTAATATTCTATTTATAAAGATTAAATGCATTGGAAAGTCAATTTAGGGGGCAAATATTGTCCTTTAATGGAAAAGGTGCAGTCTAAGTGGAAGAGAGGGGGTATGCAGAAGGATGGTAGATGCCTCGGGGTACTCCACTCTGAAAAGTCTGGGAACCACTGATGTAGAACATTCTGTCCTGTGCAACAAGTGATTTATTTTATATTTTCAGGTACAGCGGTTAGTTTGAAATAAAAGTTTGTTTAACAGTGGAAATTGAGTCTCACATTATTTAAACATTCAAAATAATAGTGAACATTTTCGACTTTATAAAATGATTCTCTCAAG